CGCTCACTATTCCATGCGGCAATAAGGCCCGTACATTATTGGCGGTCGGGTATAAAAGTTATTACCTGTAATCGGATGCCAATCAAGGGGAGACATACAGCATGTTCAAAGCACCGATATCGCTGCTTATTAGCTCACCGAAGATTCATCAATTTCCGAAAATCGCTCCCCAATATCAGCCGACTTATTGCTGTCTGAAGAAATGTTTAGTGCAAAAAGCTATCGGGCCGTTTTTCCCACAAACAACTGTCGATTGCGGTGAGTCGGTGTGATATTGGCGACCAGCGGGGTTCCAGCGGCGGCCGGCGGCCGGCTGGCGGCCGCTCCCGCGCCCACACGGCCCCGCTCTGCTCGCGTGGCCCGCACGCGAGGCGGCCGTAGAGCACGGAGCCGCCGCGGGTGTCGACCGCGGCCGGCGCGCGCGCCGCCAGCTGACCCCACGCTGGGCTCATCAGAGGCCTCATCAGCACGGCAATCACAGGCGGCCGGCCGCGGCGGCTGTAAACGGCCGGCCGCGGCGGCCGTTCCCACGGTCCGGTACCGCCCCCGAACGGCCGGGCGGGGGCGTGGCGGCCGCGCCACAGCGCCGCCGGCACCGAGCGCCCCACTGCCGCAGCATGGCGGCGCTGCCGGGACACGGCGGGACACGGCGGGACTTACTGAGAGCTGCCGCTGGGACACGACAGGACCCGCTGAGAGCTGCTGCTGGGACACTGCGGGACCCGCTGGGAACTGCTGGGAGCTGCCGCTGAAAACTGCTGAGAGCTGCTGCTGGGACACGACAGGACCCGCTGAGAGCTGCTGGGGACTTCCGCTGGGATGTGACGGAGCCCGCTGGGATCTATCTGCTCCTAAGACTGCATTACGCGGCAGTTGTTGACTGGTCAGCGGCTCTCAGGTGCGCACGCCGCGGCAGAAAGTTGGCTTCTGTAACAGCGCACGTATGAATTTATTTTGCAGGCGCCGGATAAAGATGCTGTCATGAATAGAAGACGTGATGAGTCCCATTCGTTTTGCCGAGCAACAGGATAACAATGATCTATGAAATAGTCATCAAATAACAACCATTGTTAAAATAATCGATTGTGATACACACAATAATTCCAGCGTTATTGCTTTGGCGTCCATCAAAACTAATGACTATATAAGTACGTCTTTGGCAACATGCGGTAAAAACTTCACCTTTTTACGCCAGTAATTTAGGCGGCAGTGCACACCTTTCAAGTTACAGTGCAAGCGATTTCGATAGTAACCGCATAGTCTGTCTATGGCGAACTGTCGAAATCGGTTGCACTATTTCTGAACTGTGTGCACTATGCCTATATTTGGCCGTAAAAGGTGTCTATGGCAAGTCAATATAACACCGAAATTGTATTCTATCAATATAAATGGTGTATCATCTAAAACTGTATCAATGTGTATATGTTATTTCTATGTGATAGGTAATTACATGATACCTATGATAGGCATGTTAGTAAATCATTTAACCTAGTAGAATGTTATATAATGTCAACTTTATTTTAACCTCGGGCGCAAAAGTTTTCAAGGAATTTGACAGATGGCAAATATTTCCCGTCCTTAAAAAAGCAACAGCATTTTCCGATACCTACCAAACGGCGATCGCATTTGGCTTGACTTAAAATCATGCATAGAAGATGGAGGGGAGGAACTAGTAATCTCCTCGGATTATGCTTCCCGTGAGAATGCTTCTCGCTCAAGTAGGTACATGCTTAGGTATTCTTAATCTGCAATATCACTAATAAAACAACAGCTCTTCTCAGACCTTTTCCTGTATGTTTGATGCAGTCTTGCAATGCAATCCAGCCATCCAAGAAACTTTGCGCGAGACGTTTTCTTGGATGGTTTTCTTGGATAGCTTGATTTCATCGAGGGCTTCTGTTTTAAAGAAAATTTGTAGGCTTTGCTGAACTGTTAAGTAATTAGAACTGCCAGTATTTCAGTATCTAACGTGTAGTTATTGTTACTGTATTTTATTTATGCATATTTCGGCCTTTTTTAAGCAGATAACGAACGATATTAAGAAACATACAGGAAATAATATCTAGGACTCTACCGCGACGAAATATTTCTATCTCGAGTTTTCAAAGAATTTCATGCACTCGGCCAAGGCCTCGTGCATGAAATCCTTTGAAAACTCTCTATAGAAATATTTCGTTTTCGCGGTATCGTCCAAGAATGTATATTCTGTGACGAGTCGTCTAATTCGAGGGTGACTGCGACTTGAACGTGACTCGACGCAAAACTTTTTACATTTTGCGCTGCTTATCATAGAAACATAGAGCACTGAATCATGTATGGAAAAACTGGCAATAGTGCGTCCCAAATGATATATTGGGCGTCAAGAATAGAAGATATAAATATTCCGCATTAGTTATTACAAGTTATCATCTAACTATTTTGAGCTACATCTATAATTCACCGTGCGTCGCTCCAAGCAGGATGTTTGCTCCGCTTTGTGTTCTTTGTTTAGGGAAATACAAGTCCCGCGACCGATGCAGAGAAGTAGAGTTAAGTTGTAGAAGCATGATTATTATGGGAAGGGGAGAAAAGATCATGTGTCTTCCCAATGCAGTTGGCTGAGCGCGTATGCCCTTCTCGCCCCTCGTAGTGACGGAGCCCATGCTTAAAGGGGCCAAACGTAAGAATGACATTTCAATGCGCTGCTATTGCAGTAAATTTTGACAAATAACTTTTAATAAAATCTTATGTTAAAGCATGAACTACCACAGGTAGCTCATGTTATCTTTGATCAAACATGTTAAGAGCTTTTCAAGCTGCTTTAAATCTTAAAGTGATTAAGAATTTGACTTCACAGTTAAGCTAAAAATTTGACGTTAGGTGAAGGTCATGATGTGAATGGGGAAACATATTATTCATATCAGAAGGTTGAAATGAATAGGTTACATTGACATATTTTTACCGTTCTAACATGCTTTTATCAAAAGGTACTGTAAAAAGAACTGTTGATGGCTTTTACATGAGCTGAAATAGCCTCAAAGTATTTTGTGATATCATATGCTTAATTTTCTAGTCACTTTTTCAGAAAAGCATTATCAACATTGGTTTACTCCATTAAGGATAAGCATTTGCTCCGAAAGAGGTTAACCCTCGCCCTGGCAGGGGGGGGGGGGTCGATGCGACCCCCCTAAGGGTTTTCGAAGATAGCGTAAATGCGCGCCAAATTTGGCACAGCCTATGGGGCAACCTTTTTACATATGACCTGAAAATTTCAGGTCCGGGTGACCTTGGGTCAGGTCACCAGGTCAGAAAACCGGTACAAGGTCATGGTCAAATTTCAACTTTCTTTTTGCACCTGTACAACTCACAGTTTTCGACTGATTTCCTTCAAACTTTCAGGATGTGCTAAGTTCACCGAGTTGTATAACATATAGTTCGGGTTTTTTGAGGTCACTGACCTGAGGTCAGTTAGAGGTCATTGCGTCGTAATGTTAAGCCTATGGGAAAATACTAAATTCGGAAAATACTGGAGATATCCGCTTCGTTCTATCACTTTTGTGCTTTGAAACCACAGTACTTAACAGCAGGTCACTTGGTGCTTCTTTGTTTGGTGTACTTATCCATGGGTCAGGTCAAATGAGGTCAACTGAGGTCAAATCACATTTTTTCCAATAACTTGGCACATAATGACGCTAGAGCTTAAAAAATGGTGTCATTGTGTTCCTGGTGATCAGCCGAATCGAATGATATGCCATATGATGCAAGTTGGTTAATTTGAACTTAATTAGTTAATTAAAGTTTACTTAAAAATTAAGAAAAACTTTAAGTACACTTAATCAAGCTAAAAAGTATATCATTCGACGCGCCTTGACGTGCTGAGTTCACTGGTGCTTTTCTTTTTGCTCTATCTTAATTAGATCAAAAGTTATAAGCGAAAAACTTTTGACCTGTTTTAAGCGAAATTTTTACATTTATACCCCCCAAAACCCCCCTAAATATTGACCTAGAACAACCAAATTTGCACAGGGGCGAGAACACCATAGGGCCCACCTACCTACCAAATTTGGTGTTTCTAGGTGCCATAGGAGCCAATCGCGAGGGGGGGTCGCATCGACCCCCCCCCTGCCAGGCCGTGTTATGAAAAAGGCCCTGCCAGGGCGAGGGTTAAGTTTAGAATGTTCTCTTATTACCTTACTTATGATGGAGGGGTCATTGAGCTAACCATACACTTGGTCACAAATGAAAATCAATCGTTTATCCCGTAACCCCAAATCAATTGCTTCGGTGCATCTATGAGTGATCATTTATTTGTTCATGGTTATATGAGTTTGCTTATCGTGACCCTTAGCCTCGATCACAAAAGTACCTACCTTGGAAGATAGCAATTTTATTGGATTCTTACGCACCGATCGCAAACTCAAAACCTTTACCGTAGCAGTTTACCTTGGAATTCTATCGAGGAGCTCTGGGTTTGAGAATGTGAAGTTACTTCCGTATGCTACTTAACTACGAAAATGGTTGTTGATTCGAACTTGCTAGGTATTTTGGTGAGAGGCCTCTGGTGACCTGACCGTGACCTCAGGCTGACAGATAATTTTTGGAAGGGGTGGAGAAGTCAGAAAACGACAGCATTACTAAGTGATAAAAACGGTGGCGCATTACGCTGCATCATATAAGAACAATTAAGACCATTGTTAGCACTAGGTTTAAATTCATCACTTTAATAAAATAGTGAGTGGATCGAGCTCTATCGAGCTTGAGAAATTGCATGTTTATGTATATGCTGTTTATAAATGTGGTGTATTAAAAATGAAATGAACAAAGTTATTTGACATGATCAAAAAACAAAGTAATGAACAAAGAACAAAGTTATTATTACGAGTAGAACATGAACAAAGCTATTTCAATCAGTAAACTGATCCAATTTGGAAATGGGATTGGGTTCAACGTAGGCACTTTCATTGCTCAGCTCATCAAACGTTGAACGTTTAGCAGGGCAATCTTAAACACACCCATCGCGCTGGATTTGTAGAACATTTATTTTTTATGTTATTATCCATTTTGATAACAGAACAGTGTGATCCATTGATGTTCCACAGGAACACAGCACTAAGTCAACGCAATACCGACCGTTCACAATGTATCACAGTGCTAATCATTCATACATGGCTGCAACTGTCAGCTGCTTTGATGGGAACATGGGAGCGAGTGTACCCGTTCAGAAATAGCTTTGGCCAGTTCGTGCCTTTTATTATTCCATTCCTGAGTTAAAACAGCTGCTTCGTGTCACTGAATCTGGCCTTTTATAGGCACCCACATGTCCTGAAATCACAACACTCCGCTACGGAGACTTGCGGGACCGTCTGTTACATTATCATTGCAGTTCATTTTGGTATAGGCCTGTTGAGGTCGTTGGAGGGTTCTGCTCGATTATCTTGTTCTGCGTACAAATTCACTGATCCTTGCCAACAACACTGCTAAATATTCACATTTAAGCCCTCTATCAGTTGAGGCCAGTTAGTGCACGGCTATCTGACGCCAGGTGTAGGACGGCAGCTCCATCTTGTCTCGACTCAGGGCGAGCTGGGCGAGGCGGGCCGCTGCTCGGGAGACTGGCTGACGGGTCGGAGTTCCTCGGCAGAACGCATGATGGCTGCGATGGTGAAGTTGGTGGCGCGAGGTCTGGCCAGGCTGAGGGCGGCCGAGTCGGTCACTGTCTCCGTCTCTGACCTGACCTCGGACCCCTGACCTCCGCCCTCGACCGGGGACCGGCAGCCGCGCGGCGCCCGCGGTCCTCCCAGCTCCGGCTGCGGGAGCCTCAGAGCCGGCTGACCGCCCGACATCACCGGGTGTCCGGTGACGGGTGACAGCTGTCCGGTGACGGGCGACAGTGACAGGTACTTGTCAGTCACCGGAGGACATACCGGACGGGTCAGGCGACCTTCGTCGTGCTGACTGCGGTGCACGGCCAGAGTGCGCGCCTGACAGAAGCCCTTGCCGCATTCCTCACACTTGAACGGCTTCTCCTTGTTGTGGGTGTACCTGAGAAGGACGGACGTCTGGTCAGCTTACTGGTCCGGCTTATTTAGAAAAGTACACCCTTTTCACTTGACTAACGCAAAAAAACGGCTCTGTGAATAACACAACGATAAAACGTCAACTTGTTACGTGCCAGGCACCGTCCACTGAAATGATAACTATGTAAATACAGATGTCTGAGAGTTTGAACTTACTTGTGGTCTCTGAGGTGGTCCTGCCGGCGGAACGCCTTGCCGCAGACGTCACACGGAAACGGCCGCTCGTCGGTGTGAGTCCGCTCGTGGATCAGCAGGTTGTAGCTCTTGCTGAACTCGCGCTGGCAGTACTTGCAGATGTAGCGCTTCTTGGGCCGGGCGGCGCGGCCGACAGGCGGCAACAGTAGTCCTGGGTGTCCAGCGGCCATCGGCAGGCCCGGGTAGCACGGCCACAACAGCGCCGGCAGCTTGGCCTGCTCGGCGCAGTAGCGGTGCAGCAGCTGCTGCTGCAGCTGCGCCGCCTGCAGCAGCTGCGGATACAGCAGCGGCAGACGCTGTGCAGACATGGCCGCCGGCCGCTTGGCGGGCTCGAAGGCCGAGTTCAGCTCGCCGCCGTCAGAGTCCATCGGTGGCGGTGTGTCGTCGGTGTCGGCGTCGGCAGCGGCGGTGGGCGTCGGAGGCGGGGTCACACGGGCGAGTGGCGGCGCCGGCCGGTCGGCGCTCCGGCAGCGCGCGGCGGCGGCGGGGGCCGCGCACCGCTGCCGCCGCCGCCCCGCCCCCGGCCGCCGATTGGTGGACGGCGGCGGCGGCGGCGGCCGCTCGGCAGCGCAGCTCGTCGGCCGCCGAGCTGGGCTGCCGCGCCGCCGCCGAGAGAGCTGCCGCGCCGCTGGAGGGGCGCCCGCTGGGTCACCGGGGAGAGCTGCTGGGCCACCGGGGAAAGCTGTCGAGTCACGGGGCTAGGTCACTGCATGTGGAGAGCTGCAGGGCGCTGCGGAGGGCTTCTGGACCACTGAGGGAGCTACGGGCTGGATAGAGCTGCTCGGGGGCAATGGGTGGGAAATATTGGAAATCGGGCTGGAAACTTGGATGAATGGGATGTGTTGGCACTGGATTGCAGGTGACGGGGTTGGACCTACAGATGATGTGATCGGAAGAAAGATGACATTTTTCACTTTGAGGAAAGTTGTGGGTCTGGAGGGGGTTTGGGTGGACGGAAAGGCGGAAGAGTTCGGAAAATATGGTAGAGTTGGAAAAGTGATAGGGTTGGAGAAAAGTTGGTGTGGTTGAACGAAATCTCGTGTCCCAATGCACAGTGGGGATTTTTCCGATCTAGCACGTATTTATTCGTAGAGGGCAAACCATAGGTAGAATTGTAGCCAGATTGTGCACAGATGTTGGCTGGTGTGTCCTGGTGAGAATTTTACTTGCAAATGTGCATAATCAACATAGTATAGGGGGTTCAATTGGACCCCCCGCTCAGCCGTTTGGCCCCTGATCAAGCTAGAGCTTCGCGGAAAAGTCAAGCGTGCTGCCTATGACAAAATGAGGCCGAATATATCCAATTTCAAAGTCCAAGGTCATAAGCTGACTTTCCAAGTCAGTTTAATGACCCAACTTAAGTTGGGAAATCGAGACCTCTTGAAACTTCGCAAAGTTATGGTGTTACGGGGTATTTTGGGGTGCTGATCACGAATTTCATGTTAGTTTTGATCACAGACGATGTCTTTATGCATTTAGGCCAAGTCGGGTCAGGTCAGGTTAGATCAACTAGTAGGCGTCCTGCCGGCCATCCATAGAAGTGTCACCTACTACTGATAGCTTCGTAACATGGAACGAAGGCACCAGAACCACTTCGTAAATATTCAAATGGCTGCTAAAATCGAAATCAGCACCAAAAACTACCCTAGAAACAAGTAAAACTCGAAAAAGTGAACCAAGGTCATCAAAAGGTCACTGACCTTGACTTGACCTTCACGTGACCTTGACACCCACCATTATGCATGGCACCAACATCATTTCACATATTTGAACGTTTAAAACCACAAAAAGACTGGAAACCGCGGATAATGTGAGCTGGCATACGCCGAATCGCGATTCCGGCCAAACATGGTCTCGATAAATATGCCACAGGTCAAAGGTCAGTTGGGTCAGAGTCATGAAATTTTTAGATTAGATGTAAAATTGATGATCTCGAGGGCACCGAAAGTTTCGGCGCGATCGGCCGCTTTTTGCGCGAGTAATTTGCGGAAAACCATGGGGTTTTATCCGACCCCTTCCCCCTCCCCCTCCCCACAAATGCGATGGTTTATAAGGTTACGGTATGTATAATGTACGCTTGTAATCCTATTCCTAATGAATGTGTCTCATAAAATATGCATCATATAAATCACGAAGTAAAATTATTCGCCATGTCCGGAACATACCTATATCGTGCTGTTTGCCCTAGCGCTCCTAGAGTGGGGTATTAAGATACTCTAATGCGAATATTCCGTGTTCAGGCAAGTTCCGGCCAGACTTGTAAACGATTCAAAAAAATTCAGTTGATTCAGTCACGACTCACTTGATGAAATGACCGATTCAATCACAACTCAATCAAACAGTCAGATTTTCCAAGCGATTCAATCACGACTCATTGACCTTGTGATTCAACTCAATCACGACTCATCCCATTAGCAGTGATTCAGGGAATGACTCAACTCATGATTCAACTCAACTCGATTCAATCAACATGTTATATATAATATATACCGATATGTAATGCGGAATAATTTTTTTTTTGGATACTGATACCAAACCGATACCAATTAAATACACTGAGAGAATACCAATAACAAACCGAGAGAATAAAAAATATAGAAAAGTACCAAATCTATACTTAATTCAACAAAATTTTAAGTATTTACAAAAATATGGTGTAAAGATGATAATTTAAGTTCAGAATACTCAAGTTCTGTTACAAATGAAGCTACCAGAGGACTTATAAAATTTATTTATCTGCTTACAAAAGGAAACAAATGCAAAATTTCACAGAATGCTACTACACATCATCAGCGTCATCGAAAAGGACCAAAATTTGCAAACCAATTATGATACCCAAACTGAAATAGCTGGTGATCAGGATCAGCCATAAAAAAGGATTGTTTGATACTTTATGAAGCAATGGTAAAACCGACCCCCACCGGACACGATTTGGTAGCCGAGGTCTGTGACGTCAGCCGGGCGTGAAGTTTTCCCTTCACCATAGGCTTCACACACAAACTGGCCGAAGTTCATGCCAGGATAGCCCGGCTTGAAAGTGCAAAAATGATTAAATTTTGCCCTCAATAGATTCATTGCTTCATTTTATAACTTAAAACGTCCGTTATTAGGCCTCAATGAAGGTAAAAAGTACTCAAAATCGAAGTTCAAGAAGATGCTGTCCGAGCACAATCTGGTAACATCACGTGACCTCTTTTAAGCAGAATGTATATAATTCAAGGATGTTATTACACAATTGCTGCCTAAAACATCATTAATAATACGCTTGTAACATTTATTGCTTCTGTTCAAGTCATAACATTGCAAAACGCAAAGTTTATCATGGCAGTCACGTGACCAAAGGTATAGCAGGGGTTGGGACAAGCAGTCAAAGGATTTCAAGTTTTTTAATTAAATTATATAAGTTTCATGATGAAATTGAAAGAATGTATTTTTTCCTAATGAAATACAAATTTTCGTATGTAAAATATTTTCCTTATGGGCGAAATTCTCCATATAAGAAATGTCAGTGACGTCACCTGGGCTTTACTCAAAACATCCGACCAACATCCGACCTACCTGTTTCTTATAGGTATCTTGGGTAAAACAAGACACAGGACTAGACATATCCGGCGCGCTACAAGTTTTCTTTACTAACAATGATACGGAATATCGATACTTACGAAGCTGTTCAACAATTACATAATATAAGTTTGAATGCTCTCATGTTAAAGCTACACTGAAAGAAAAACTACACCTGAAATTGGAATATTATTACGGTACACAAATCTCCACCCCTTTTAACTTCATTTTATGCCAGAGTAAAAGATGTTTGCATGGACAATTGGAGATTAATTCTGCCACCCGGTAGTAAGTAATATATCCTCGTAAGCTTAGATTTACACCCGTTGCGGAATAAAAGTACGGTACACAAATCTCCACCCCAAATCAATTCATTTTACACCCCTAGGTAAAGGGTGTAAAGGGGCGTTAGGAAGAATTAAGCATGCAATTTACGATAATAATTTTACACCACAGTGCAATTTTAGCCACAACAATTTCTACGCCTTGCGACATGGTGTAGAAATACCAGCGGGGTGCGAAGCTGAATGTGTACAATTTAAGTCAAGATGTAAAAATACCTCACGTTATAATCCGCATACAAAACAAAAGTAAACGATAATAATTGTATGTTCTTTTCCAGAGGGAGTAAAAATACGACTGGGTAAATATACATCGCCAGCCATAACTATCCCCCAGCGTGATTGTATCTACTGTCGTCTTCTGAGCACTCTCGATAAAGTCAACTATGGTACATCTCTCCAACGTGTTGTTTATTTGAAATAACTTGAAACGACAGATCACAGGCTGCTACAGATTGGTTCCTCCCAACACTGACTTCCCTGAGGGCTGAGGAGACCACAAGCTGCACAAATCACATTTTATTCACAGCACAGGTCATCAGGTCACTAAGTCACGTTTCATCATGTACTCTAAAAACAACTGAGCATTTCTTCGTGTAACGAGTATCGACATCAAACGTACGGTCTCTGAAATCAAAGCACAGGTGTACGAACTAGGACAGCACTGACAACAAAAACTCCGTAAAAAAAAAACTGACTGAGGCCTTCTCAACTCACATCATCTTCAGTGCCTATAGGTACTGAAGATGTTTCACGGCACGACACTACACTGCGTTACGTGTATCGCGGTGCTATGTTCCTATTGGAAACATCCACATACTCGAACGCTCTCAATGTTGGAGCGTCCAAGTTTGTAGATGTTTCTATGGAAACTCAATACCGCGATACTACATAGTAGCGCACAGTAGTGCCGTGGCGTGAAACAGGGCCCTGCTCGGTCACCCGATCACTGCACTGGTGCCTCTGAATCGGCAACAGTGGATTATACGAAGGATGGCCTTCTCGGCCGCACTGAGCGGAATCGCGAACTTCATAACCCGTGCATATATGACCTCAAAAAGGATCATGCTGGGCCCTCTAAAAGGCAAATATAGCACAGCGTGCGCCGCAGCGAAGACAGCCAGCATCTTCATCTCACTGTTTGGGAGACGATATTTCACATCGCTGACCAGGCACTGGGTTTCTGGGTGAACGGACACAGAGTTGCGCCCATCCTGCAGCTCCGAAATCGTCGTGCCGCCACCGATCACCAAGGTGGCCGCCAGGTCGTCATCTACCAAGATTGAAAGATAAAAAGAACTATTAACCACTGTAATCTTTAAGTTAAGACGACTTAGTATGTCAGGCCGTCCATCCGTCCGTCCATCCGCCCATCCATGTAAATTGAAGGATGTAAAGAAATATTAAGCACTGTAATCTTTAAGAAAATAGCAATTTTGAATGTCGATCCTTAAAAATTGACAGACGAATCTATTAACCCGCGCACCGAAGGGGTTCTGAGCCAACTTAGAACCGACGAGAGGGTGGATGACCGCCCCCCAAAGATCTCAAGAACTAAGTAACGTCGCGAGGAGCGGCAAACGACATTCGAAAGCTCGTAAGAAGGTCTATGAAAAAAGTACTTCGGTCATTTTTCGCTAGGGTTCAAAATGACGTCATCAGAGGTCATCGAAGGTCAAATTATGCGAGTAACCGTAAAAAGACCAACAACATTCAACAAACGACTCCGTAGCTCATGAACAAAAGAGATAAAAAGTCGTATAAAAAAGGAATCTGATGGAAATAAGAATGACTTGAAATTTATTCCATTGACTTATAATGGGCAGGTAAAAAATGACCTATTCGTAGGTCATCGATATGCAATTCTGAGATATACGAGTTGTAGGTGCTCATCACCAAAATTATTTCTGTGAGTTTCAAGATCTGCTTTCAACAACGAGATAGCAAACTTCGAAGATTGTGTTTCGAGGTGAGGTCACTTAACGTGGCCTGGTGACCTGACTTTTTTAAGATATGAGCTAAAAATTTCCAGAGGGTGTGCGAAATGGATGTATCAACAGTCGTGCCAAATCTGGCGGAGCTATGCGCCGCCGTTTTTATGCTATCTGACAAAACCTGGGGGGGGGGGCTCCCCCGTCGGTGCGCGGGTTAAGCACTGTAATCATAAGGCAAAGCAAAGAACGATATTGTATGTCTGTCCGTGAAAACTGAAAGATATAACTACACCTTTTGTCAGTTTATTTCGGTACGTGCGCGTCCATTTTAGACCTAGCGGATTCTTTGTAGACATACCGCAAAGCTATGTATCAGTATAGCATTGCATGTCGGCCGTTTATAGCGGTGATCGGCATTAGAGCATTTATTTTCGGCGCAGCAGCAAAAGACGCCCGGTTTCGGCGTGTCCGCATTGTATTTCGGCGATGCTGCTGGAGATTGGAGACGGCCGCACGATATTTAGAACAGCAGCAACCAAATTCGGCAATATTCATTCAATTTCGGTTGCTATTTGGAAGCAAGCGGAGACTTCTTGCTTACAAAATTAGCTTGTTGGAGCATTGTTATTAAGTCAAACGTTTTTCAAGGTGTTTACTGTTGCCACTGTCTCATTGTCTGGACTTGAGTGCATGCCTCCGGCCCTCCACCCTCTCCGTTATGGCCGAATATTCCTTTCGCCATCGCCAGCGATGAGCAATGATTTCATGTTCGTGCTTTCTGTGGGTTAAACAAAACATTACAATGTGCCTATTAATTTCTATCAAGTACAAATAACATAAGTGCATAGGCACCTGCTTAAAACGAAGCTGGCGGAGAACAAAACCAGGCCGACAGGGTACGCGACTACTGAACTTTGACCCCGCCCATGCGCCAGAGACGCCCGTCGTCCGGTGTCGTCGCGCGGTTGTTGAAAGGATGCGCCGAGCGCCGGATTGACAGTCAGATGCTCAGGGAGGGGGGGGGGGAGAAAAAATACACCTGCCGCAACTACGAGTCTTGTCCATGGGACGGGTTAGAATGTTGACGCTAAGCCTCTGGGTCTGGTGGTGTTCGTGGGGGTGGGGTGGGGTGAGGGGAGGCGCGTGATGATACGATACGGAATGATTAATTTATTTTCGTGTCCTTCTGCACACAGTAGGTAAGGGATGTTTGATATTTCACGCTGGCAGTTGATTAATAGGAGATGAATAACAGGAAGTGCAACGATAACCGATTGGTAGGACTTATTCTGGTATGGCTGAGCTAATTGTGTTATGTTTGATTGACGAGGTGATGGGTTGCTTTCAAAGTGAAGTAAAATAACAGGTCTTTTGATAAAATGGGTTCATGTTTTGGGCAAAAACTTGGCACACAGTGACAACAGCACAGACGTGCTTCAATGAAAGAGAATCGGGGCTTGCCTCGAGTCCAACAACGATTGGCGTTTGCCTTGTCGATCGTCGTCCGCCATGTGCGGACAGGAGTGGGTACTGTAATATATGTAAAAAGAAACCAGCCCACAGATGTTATCTTTTTAGGATAAATAGTACTAATTCAGTAAAGTTTATCAATTTTCACATCAGAATTCGAAACGGGAAACAGCGAAACGATCTTAGGTAGGTACTGTGACGCTAAACAAACAATGGCCTGCTTTTCTCCCCCTGAGAATATCTCAAAGCCACAAAGCTGTATGAGGATTCATTTGATGCTCAAGAAGCGTTCCTGAAAATATAAATCACCTGGGTGCCTCCGGTTACCCGCCGAAATTGAATGAACAGTGCCGAATTTGGTTGTTACTGTTGCTAAATAGCGTGCGCTACCTCTAAACCTGTGCTGGCGCAGCCGATTCTACTTGCGCTATCGCTGAAAATGGAGCGTTTTGCCGCTGTGCCGAAATTGAATGCTTTACCGCCGACTGCCTGACCTGCGCCGAGATATTATGTGATTCTTGTACATAATATTGCGGTATGTCTACACACATTTCGGTAGTTTTAAAATGGACGATTTCGCACCGAAATTAACTGACAAAAGGTGTAGTAAGCACTGTAACATTTAAGTACAGAACGATATTGTATGTCACGGACGGACGGACCGATAGACGAGACAGACGAAACAGACAAATGTAAAATATTGGGGGACACGTCCCCCGTCCCTCCCCCTCCCCCCGGTGGCGGAGCCCATGGATGAGACAGGCGAGACGGACGGACGGACGGACGGACGGACGGACAACGGACGGACGGACAGACGGACAGACGGACAGACGGACAGACGGACAATTGTAGTCAGTCATCATTAATGGTAGTTTAAAACTCACCTTCAACGGGTGTGGCGCCCTCCGGAGGCAGGAGTTGTGCGGTGTAGCACGCCTGTCGCGTCATTGAGGTGACTTTGTCCTAATGCCATTCTCGCCGGCGTGACCCACGACGAGAGCCAGGTCACCCCAAACCTGAAAGTAATACACAAAATGAATTAGCAACTTTTTCAGGCCATGATTCTAGTACTTTTGTAAAGCGTAGAGAAATAAAATTACTAAACATACCTAAACATATATTGATCAATCGACACATTGAACATTTGATGAAGTTACAGTTAACAACCTCAGTAGGTAGGTACTTAACTGATTTCTCAATTTGCCCTTGAGAACAAACTGATAGGGTCAATTTGAGCTTTTGGAATCACTAAGCAGAATGCCACGTATTGACACAAACAGCTAAGTGAGTGACGTGCATACAGACAGCAGCAAATCAATTTCATCAACTGCTACATCGAAACATTATCAAGTCAACTTACCCTCAAAGTTATTCGGAAATGGGTCCAGCACTAGTCAGTCATCACCACACCGAACGCACCAGCACACTCGCACCTATCTCACTGTTTCAAACGCCAGAAGATCACTTGCAAGCGCCAGAAGTCTCCGTGGCTCCGGAGCAGACACAAAAATGAAAATGGCGGAAACGGAAGGCTCGCGAGCCGCACGTGGACGCTATCGTAAAATAATGAGCATATGGGTGCAGAGCTATCATGTCTAGGGTATTTTAATTCCTTGTCATAAAATAACACCATCCTCATCGAAACACACTTTACCAAGGATGCATATTTACACCATGATGAGGGTTGAATTATCAGCTGACAAATCAGAGTGCAAATTTATGCTATCAGATGGGTATTCTTATCCCACTTGAAGAAAATACACTATAGTAGTAATTTTACCATCCATCAATTAGAGGGGTAAACATCTCAAAAGTTAGAATTGCACCATGAGTGTTAAACTGGATTGAATTAACCCCCAAGAATACGCTCGTGATAGAGTACATTCGCACCGGAGCATTATTTTATTCCCCATATACGTCGAACAAGGGTATAAATATTCTTGATTTCGGTGTAATGGCGGTGTATAATAATCAAATTCAAATTACCAAGGTGTACTTTTCTTTCAGTGTACCTCAACTATCCATAACTTCAATAACAAAATAACAACTCCAAGCTCCCACGACACCAAGGTCACTTCATACGGCGCGGAGCTGGGTTCAAATGCGCATGCGCTAAGTGGGCGACCATCTTGAATCAAGCAGCAGAAATATATAAAATAAATAGTTTATGTTTTTTGATTTAACTATGCGTATTTTAGCAGGCGTGGAAAACAGTCTTTAGGAAAGGAAAAATTAAGGAAAAATTATCTAACAGTTAAATGCTAATAAATTAGTTTTACGATCTGCATTTACGCCCAGCACTACAACATAGTTACAGCGTATACTGACGCAGCTGCGACATAAAAACGTATTCTGCGTGGCTTGCATATGGCAAGTATTGCGAGCAGTCTGGCAAATCTCTTATCAGAATATAGCATCGAATGCAAAAACTGTTAGCGATCCATAAAACTAGAGGGCGAAGAACACCAAACAGCACAAGATTGTTTGTTGAGCTATGAAAGCAATAGTTTTCATTTTTGGGTGATGGTGCAGGTGAAATGGAGGTGTTTGAAAGTTTTCTTTTAATAGTAGGCTATGTATCTAGTTTTCGCCATTGTATCTTTACTTTTGTGAAACTGAAAGCCACGGCAGTGCCTATCTATCTGACAGATCCATCAATGCTCATAAGCTAAGGTATTCTTTATGTTGATAGGTAAACGCTGATTCTGCTGGGGAATGTGAAGCGATTTTGACAATGGATTAGACCAAGCAATTTATGGCCCTCTGTCCAAATTATTAACTAAGGTTACAAAATTCTAATGTGAACATGCATTGTGCATGCATAAATATGTTTTGCTTGCTCACAAATGTCCTGATGAAACAGGTCATTGAAAATGTAAAGATAAACATAATATGTAAAACCATGTGTGTTGAGCAATGTGCACCCGCTACTGTTAACTTGATAGCAGTGCTTTCATGCACTGGAAATAAATTAACATGCATTTTTCCATGTTCATGCATCAACGTTTATGTATAATTTGTGTTTTCAGTTTGATTAAAACTTTGAACAAAATTATTGTTTTTTATCATGATAGCCATGCGCATTTATAATACTGACAAAATACCTCAAAATTTTGCAGTGCAATGTGTGTGTCTGTGATGCAAATGCCACATATATTTCTACATAATATAGTAGTACATATAGTCTTAGATTAAGCAATTCCCAGCACATTGTGATTGAATCATTTTGTCGATTCAATCAACTTGAATAGATGAGTTGCCGACTCAATCACTTTAAGTTGCCGTGTGTGACCGATTCAATCACAACTCATATGGCGACAAGAGGTGATTCAACCGACTCAATCACAGTGAGTCGGCATTTACAAGCGATTCATGAGAATCGATTCAATCAGAGTTGAATCGCTTACAAGTCTGGTTCCGGCAGCCAAACTAGGCGTTGTCTTGTGCAGGAGAAAGTGGCGAATTCGATAGGATATGTTTCGGAGTGGAAAAGTGTGGAAAACATTGTTGATTTCCTACATTTATCTAGAATACCATTCCTTCAACATGGTGTCTGTAAGGGTTTTTTGTAAATGACATTTTTGTGACCTTAGTAAGGTTGTGGCATAATTTCTGTTTGCCATTCCATTCCTAATAAAGGTGCCTTTCAGACGATATGCAACTTTAAGACCTCGCAAGATTAAAACCAACAGGACAGGACAATGAAATTGAGCTATACTTTCGGGCCTTGCTGAGCCCATTGAGAAAACACGCATGAGTGTGAACTTTGGGCGCATTTTTCCTAGTTTTGCTGTGGACATACAGATAAAACAATGCCATATATGAAAAATTCAGACATTTCTTAGCCCCACTGACACAAAAAATAAACAAAAATCCAAAAAAAGATTTTTTGAATTAATAGGCGCTAGATCGGAAAAATCCCCACTGTGCAATGGGTTGGAAGTTGGAACGACAGTCGTGGAACTGCCATCACGCGAGCATTCTGCGGCGGCGGGAGATTGCAGAGGCGAGAGACCTCTGCGCATCTTTTGCATGCCTCGGACCGTTTTCTAGGACGATGCACCCGCACCTGGCTGTGACGGGTAGGCACCTGGTGATGACGGGTAGGCACATTGACGTCAGAAATGCCCGACATTCACGCCGCGATAAGCGGCGAGCTAGTGAACTCTGAGTAATGTGACGCCCAAGCTCCTCAGTCGTATCTGGCTGCTCTGTTTAGGTAGGCGCGTAAACACTAGGGCACCTGTTGCGGCGCTCTTTGAAGTGGCCGCCACGTTTGCTGCCCTGCGGTCGAAATGCCGGACGATTTGGGGAGCGTGAGCTGGAAGCCGCTCTTGGAATGTTTCTTCACTGCACATACAGTTTCAATGACAAATTATTGCACTAACTTGATGCAGTTGTGAATTGTCCTACGATTCGTCCCTCTCCAGACGGGGGGAAGTGCTGAAAAGTGGGAACAACACGACCAAATAAACTCATAAATACAAGTTTATGAGTTTGCACTGCACGGTCCAAAGATGTAGATGCTTACGTGATGTAATTTATGCCGTCATTGAAGTATGTGGGCATGCCCTAGGCCACCTATGGAGGATATGCCGTTTAACCCGCGCACCGACGGGGGGGGGCGGATATCCGCCCCCCCCCCTGAGGTTTTTCGCGAATAGCGGGAAAACCGCGGCGCTATGCGCCGCGAAATTTGGTATGACTATTCCCTCATCAATTTTACATATGGTGTGCAAGTTTGAACCTCCTACCTTTCAAGGTCAGGTCACCAGGTCACTTTGAATGACCCAACCTCAAGTCACTTTTTTGCAACTTTGTCACCGTGCCAGAGCTACAGTAGATGTCGGAGGCCTTTGAAAGTCGCAGGATGTTATTAGGTCATTAGTAGCTACAATTTGTATATCTCGGAATTTTGATATCGGTGACCTAAGGTCAGGTCAATTTCGCGACCTCCCCATTATAAGTCAGTGGGGGAAAAATCAACTCCCTGTTTTTACCACTAAAACGGGTCGGATTGGCCCCATATACCATACATGACTTCATATACGATCAACCTTCACTACCTTGAGGTCTGTTTTGCTGTTGGGCAGCTGTGAGGTCATGTGACGTCATCAAAGGTCACCAAAGGTTTTTGGCCAATAACTCCGTACAGGAACAAGATACAGACGCGTGGATGGTCTCATTGTGTTCAGCTCGTCAAGACGCATCGAATGATATACATGATGACCTCGAGGTCACGTGACCTGAGGTCAACCTTTGACCTTGACCTTTCGAGGTCAACATATATATCATTTGATGCGGATTGACGAGAGGATTACGATGATACCCTTAGTTTGTTCCTATCTTGACTAATTCGAAAGTTATTCGAGAAAAACTCTCTTCATATCTAGCGCCGCCATTTTGACTTTTTTGACCCCTGTGACGTCATCTTCGACCTGACCTGAAAATGACCTAAGTAAAAATTGTAGATCTTGACCGTGCGTATCCGATGCCGTTTACCGCTTGTCGCTATCTTGCTTCGTTCTCGAGATCTCAGGGGGGGCGGTCATCCGCCCCCCCCCCCCCCCCCCGTCGGTGCGAAGTTGGCGCAGACCCCCGTCGGTCGTCGAAGTTTTCCATCAATGATTCTGAACCAATTTGCTTTACCTAAAGGCGCAAAACACTCTCTTGATCTCAAAATGAGTTGCAAACTCAAACGATATAGGTAACGCTCGACCTCCCGAGAGAAGTGAGTAGTGACCTGACCTAAACGGTTTTGATCCTACTTTTACCTAAAGTAAATACCAAAATTGACATTTGCCAAACACGTATTTGTCGTAACTAGACATGACATAAACGACAATAGCTTTGTTTCGCTTTGAGGCCATTTTGCAGAAGCTGTTTGATAAAATAATCGCAACATGACCCCTCGAATGTTCACCTGCCCCACATACCCAAATATTTTTACCCGAAGCCTTAGAAAAGAAAATGCCTATACTACATAATAGCCGTTTTCACGACGGCCATCTGGTACACATTTGGTGCACATCTGGTACAGATTAGGTGCAGATTTGGTCAAATCAGGTTTAGTGTGTCTCTTAGCAGCTATCAGCTAGGGTTGCACTAATTGCTTATATGCCTGCTTTGTCATATTATCAGAGAGCATCATCGATTAAAACACTGAAATAAATTCATAAAATGAAGATATTTGCTGTAAAAGAAATTAGGTGCAGCTTTGGTCAAATCAGGTGCATTCGCCGGATAGCCCGTCGTGAAAACGGCTATTAACCCGCGCGGGGCTGGGGGGGGGGTAAATTTTACCCCCCCTCGCGAGTTTTTGCAATATCTCAAAAACGGCGGCGCGCAGCGCCGCCAAACTTTCAGTACCTTTTCTTACATCAATTTGACACGTTCCCTGAAAATTTGAGCGAAATCCGTCGGAAAATTTTTGAGAAATTGACGTTTTAGTGACGTCATGTTCGCCATTTTCGCCTCAAAAAACGGCAAAAGTTCAAACGCCGCTAACATCTTCATTTTTAAAGGAATCAAGACGTAACAAAAAAGGATATACGTAATTTTACTTGGTCTATCAAATGGCT